GGGAAGGAGGGAGGGAGGGAGAGAGGGAGAGAGGGAGAGAGAGAGAGAGAAAGACAAACAGACATGAAGTAGGGGAAAGAGAAGAGCACCCAAAAGAAGGCAGAAAAAGTCTCCTAAACACCACGTGACCCTTTCCTTGGAAACTTTTAGGATGTAATTGCCATTTTAATTATTCCAACAAACGTACTCTCATACCTTTAAAAGAAGCACTTCAAGTAAGGCATAATTGCTTTCAAAATTTGGGGCTCAGTCTTTTGAACCAACTTCCTAAGTGTGCATTTTGGTTACAGATTATTCTAAAAAGTTGTGATTAAAGTCCTAGATACTGGTTTTAGCTAGAGCTTCATATTATTAATTTTGGGGGTGGAGTGTAATACAGTATATCATTCAAATGTACTGTAGTAGGTTTCTTGGCCTTAGGACTATAGGGGTATATTTTGAGGGGAAGAAAATATTTTAAATAAAATTTGAGATAAATTTATGATACACAACATTAAAAAAGGTCATAGTGGTACTATACACACTGGATTATTGATGCACACAAACAGATGTATGTTACTGCAAATTCTCTAATCCTTTGCATTTAAAATATTCCTCAAATCATCTCTTTCTAAAGGAGTTTTGTCTTCCTTTTGTGCAGATTTACTTAGACAAAAAAATAACAACAGGTCAGGGCAGTGCTTCCTGATATTGGTTTGAAAAGAAACAGAAGTTTTTTTTTACAGTGCCCTGGCCTAAGCATGGGAATATGTGTGCCATCAGATTATAATTCTCCATGAGACCTGGCTCAGCACCATGCACAGCACTGGGTTTATCTTTTTTTAATTATTATAATGATGACCAAATGAAAATCAGGTGTTCCAATTTCAAAATCTATACCAAAGTACAATACCACCCAAACACTGAGAGCTAATTCCCAATTTCTTTAACTTAAGCAAGCGAATAAGCAATACAACTTTTAAAGGAGCTGTTAAAACTGAACTACTTTGTAATTTAGATTTATGACTTTTGTATGATCAGGTTTGAAAGCTGCTATTAAAACCACTATGTACAAAGAAAAAACTGTGTGTATGTATATATACATATATATTAAATATTTTATAAGTTATGAAATAAATAATACTAAAAAGCAAATGTCAAATTGTAAGTTCAACTTTGCCTTCCTTATTATTAAATATAAATATATATATATATTTTAAAATTATGAATTTAGACTTTTTTCCTAGATTTTTTGAGCATTCTCCATGAAATCTCCAAAATTACATACACAGAGCCAAGAATTCTGGGTTTCCACCAGTCATGTTCTAAGCACAAAATTCTCATTACGCCTGGGAAGACAAATCAATAAAGCTCTCTTTCCACTTAGAGTCTATGAAGATTTCTGTGATATACTGTAAAGATTCCTTAAAGGTTAAATACATTTTTCAAAAAAATAATAAATCTCATGATGTCTAAATGTTAAGATAACAAAGTAGAACATTTCTCTCAGTTAATATCTTTAATAATAATTCTCATGTAGAATATACTATGTTTTTCTCCACCAAAATAACAATATATGTAGAGGCAGAAACATTTATGATTTTGAAAGCACTTCTGAAATCTTAGAGCAGAGCCACTACTCTAGTAATACTTGTAATAAAATTTAAATAATTTTAAATTTTCCATAAAGAATGAGAGGTACCAAGAGCCTTGCTTTCCCCTTAGGGATAAGAATATCCATACACAAGACCAGAAGCTTCTCTTTTGATATGTGATGCAATGGGAAAAGCTTACATCATGGTGGGATTTAATCTATTACTCAATAGGGCTCTAGCAATATCCTTAGGGGAACGTTAGATCCAGCTCACTTAACAATAGCCCTTTTCCCCACATATTCTGGAAGGCTCCACAAAAACTATTAGATACTCCTTTCTGGTTCTAGGACATTAAATGAGCTACCTTTTGATAAAATTTCCCAAATGGCTTATCTCAGAGGATTTATCATTTTTGAAATATCACATCTCATGAAGCAGCAATGCTCGCCTCCCTCTGCCTTCACAGCATTTCCAACTGCTGTGTTTCGGGGACATAAACGTCTAAACTAACAAATAGAATCAGATCTCTGGGTTGCAAAGCGGAGAAATATATGAAGAGAACTCTGGAGTTAAAGCCAAAAAAAAAAAAATCTATAAAATGTGTAGTTTTTTTTTTTTTCTTTCCCTCTTAGACCTCCTTGCCCTTGCTTGCTCTTTTTGTCTTTTTTTATGGAAATGCAAGTCCCTCAGCGCAGGGTTACCAGCAGCTGTCCCCGAATGTGCCACCCTGAACTGGGAAAGCTTCACTGGTTGTGAAAGCAAGGCCTGCATCACTTTTTCCTCTTCCAGAGGTACCAGCACTGTCCTCGAGATTAGGTCAAAGGCTGCTACGTTTGATCCTTTTCTCGAACTTCTTGTAATCGTTTTTCTAGGCGATCCAGTTTGGCGAGGTTTTCCTGCAGCAGTTTGCTGTCTGGAACCAGCTGTAAGGCTCTCTCGTAATAAGCTCTTGCAGACACATAGTGTCCCTATTGAGAAAAAGGAAGAGAATACTTATAACCTGATCCATCCGAACACGCTGTTGGAGCATGGGGAGACTAGGAAACAGACCTTCTCGTCCAGTTTAACATTAGTGACCTCATCAGGAAACCCTGTCTGCATGTGTAATTTTATCCTTATCTGTTGGTACTTTTGGAGAACCCACTGAAGTACCAGACCAGCTGGAGAATGCAAAGGGTGAGAGTTACACGGTAAGGTGAAATGGCAGAAAACAGATTTTCAATTCTACTAAAGCAGGGTGTGAGGTTATCATTTCATAGTGTTCTCACAGGGTTAGCACTACTGCTTTGTAATCAAACAGAGCCATGGCAGGAGAGAGAGAGAGAGAGAGGGAGAGNGAAGGAAGGAAGGAAGGAAGGAAGGAAGGAAGGAAGGAAGGAAGGAAGGAAGGAAGGAAGGAAGGAAAATGGTCTTTTTTATTCTTAAAGCTGACACCTACTAGTGACATAGATTTCAACAGGTACTAATCACAGAGCACTTGAAAGATTGAAACAAGACATAATTACTTTCATCATATTTTATATAAAATAGACATTTACATAAATTTTATTTTGGAAAGACTTAGGCAAAGTATACATAATCAGACTTACATGGGAGAAATACTGTATGGGAGATATATGTCTAACTGGCACAGCAAAAGTAACAAAAATGTACATTTACATACAACTAATCAAAGTAGAAAACATAAGCATTATGAACAGAGAACATGATGCAAGCCATTTCCCCCTGACACAAGGAGGGAGCAGTGTGTGGGTTACAGCAAGTCAAATGAGTTCCACATTAGAAAAGCAAGCCATGGCTTCTACAGACATTTTCATTCCTTAGGAAGAAATTTTTAAAAAATCTTTCCCCCCTCCCGGAAACAGAAGAAAATCATTCATTTTTATGTGTACAGTCTGTAAAATAAGAGTTTTTTTCTGCCACGTTAAAGCACTCAGGCAGTTCGGTCACTTTCTGGATTGTTTTTGTATGTGCGTTGTTGTGGTGATTATCTTAAGAATTTCTAAAACAAAGGGAAACATTTATCAGTTATGTCTTCAGACGGAGAGAGCTTTCAATCTGGATTCAGGAGAACCATACAGCTTGATAGTCCCGTAAAACGAACCAATCCTTTGGTGAGCGATAAACATGACTGAGACATTTGGTAACTTGCCCAGGGTGGCGGCTCCTCCATGGTAAAGATGGAGAACCCAGATCTCCTGATATCCGAGCTGGTGCACCCCTCTATGGACCAGCAAGACAACCCCAGAAGGGCATTGTGCACAATGGAAACTTCCAAACATGATACGCACATACACCGCGTGCACCACTGAGAATGGAGAGAAACTCCTGGATTTCTGGATACAGGCATCTCTTTCCAGTTTGGGATAAATGGTGATCTAAGCTTACAAACTAATAATGATGGTATATTGTGAAGCATGCTACTTTTATGAGTTACATACCCTAAAGTTTTTAACTGAAAGCATCCTTGGTGATAAAAGTGGATCATTTTTATATGAGCCAACTGATGTGAATTGAATATCATCAATTCTGTTGTGCCATTTTATTTTACTGATAGTTAACCATGCCTTTGATTGTGGTTACTTTATTTCTTCTCAAGTTACATGGCTACTAAAAACAAAAAAATAAAAATAATGAGGAAGTGCTATTTTTGGAAGAATTGTTCAACATATTTTTCTTTTACACCAAAAACTTCAAGAATAATCATAAAAAGTTGTATGATTTCCCTATGTATTTTTGGCATTGTAAGCTTTTATCTTATTCAATTGCAGCCTAAATGCAAACTCTGAAAGGTATTTGCTCTTTTAAAGCATCAAAAGATGCTACTTAGATAAGTTTTTCTATTACTGGGAAATATCAACCTACGATTTAATCAAAGTAAATGTGATGTGGAAATCAGGAAAAAATTAAAAACAAACCACCTATAACTACATCTGGCTTTGAATGCTATTACTAATATCCTATAGATTTGTTAATCTAGGGTGCAATTCCACCACAAATCAGAGCAAAAACATCTTTTAAACTGATTCTAAAGAGTATAATTAAGAAATAACTAACAAAAACTGGCATGCATGTAAACCCCTAAAAAGAGACAGACACAGGTTGAGGCATAAACTCTATGTCATGGACACCTTCTGTGAGTCATAAAAAAAATGTGAGTTTCATATACTGAGCACCTTGTCTGGGTACGTGCAAATGGCAAGGCTATTATTCTCCATTTGAGAACGAAGAATGCTATAAATATAAGGTCAAATCATAGCCCAATTGCCACAAGTGCAAACCATCCCACCCGACCCACCTGTTGGTCAATCTTGGAATGATAGCCTCAACCAACCAACTGTGCCATACATCATTTCTTTAGAATTCTTTAACTCATTTTCATCTAGATTTAAAAGTAATAAATGTGAAAGGTTATAAACATCTCTTGGGAAAGTCATAAACTCCCATTACAATTGTTAGCCTGCATTGGGTCTTCAGCCTAGCTGCAAATTAAAATCAGGATTCACGTAAATAAAATTTCTTTTCCTCCGAGGTATTTGAATCTTTGGTTTAGTTCATCTGTGTTACATCACTGAACCATGTTGTATGAATGCCATTAACAAATTAAAAAAACAGCTGAATCACTTTTAAAACTTGAACAACTTTTAAGGTTGAAATAAGTTTGTAAAGCCATTCTCGTGGCTCCTAAGTCCAAGAACACGCTAAAGGACTGCCACTTACGGGGACTTTGAAGGCAAGAAGAACTGGTTTCAGGGAGAATGGAGGGACAGGTTAGATAGATTGGCAGTAGGCAGGGGCAGATGTGTGCACATGGGACTCTAATGCAGCTGAGAAAAAATAACACATGTTGCTCATGGGAACAGAGTCCCAAATGAAACTCTGCTCCCTGGATCAAGCATCCGGCCAGACTAAAGCAACTCCTGTCTTGTCCACAGCCACCTTCCCTCCTACTGGGGACCTGCTACATAGTTAAGGACCCAGGGCAAATGACACAGCAGGACAAGAATTTCAAGCAGACTAGTCAACGAATCATAAGGTGCATCTGAGTGCAGGACCCCAACAGACTGTGTGGACTGCATTTCCATGAAGCTGGCTCTGCAAGTCCATCTCACAGGGGCTATCAACCCACAGGCCAATCACGCTTTCTTTCTTAAGGGCAACCTGGTGCTAGGACCAGACAGGGCACTCCGTTTTTATTTTGATAAGCATGAAAACCACATATCATTTCATGTTACAAAGACCAAATAAAAACAGTACAAAATACACTTAATATCTTTGAAAAATACCATGTGATTTATTTTCTTATAGGCACCATTTCAACTATGAAAATTATTTCATTGGCCACATCTCAGTGAAGGTATTAACTCAGGACAGAAATATCTGATGCAACAGTGTTAACTTTTAATGTTTAAAGAGATATCAGGATGTGCAGACAGGATGAGTGAGAGAGAAAGAGAGAAGAGAGAGAGAGAGAGAGAGAGAGAGAGAGAGAGAGAGAGAGAGAGAGAGAGAGAGAGAGAGAGAGAGAGACAGAGAGAGAGAGAGAGAACCTAGTTCCAGCATAGTTTCCAGTTCCCAGAGTCAGTAGTTTTCAATAAAACATGGTGGCACTTCCTGCCCCTTGAGTTCTGTCCGTGGAAGCCCCCTAATCCTAATTCTTTATGACAGTGCTGTTTACTGAAGCTCCCTCCGTGGGCTTTGTACAACCAAGCCAATCTTGAATAAGTGCTTGCTATGTGCCAGGCATTATGCTAAATGTTTGATGGCATTCATTCATGTAATTCTCAGAAAACTCTACAAAGGTATATCNTCTGAGAGTATGTCTGTTCCAACTAATTAAAAATTCGATGATATAGTCAATAATATCGTAATAACTTAGTGGGGACAGATGCTTACTAGAGACATCATGGTGATCACATTGTGAGGTATATCAATGTAGAATCACTATGCTGCACGCCTGAAACTAATATAATATTGTATGTCAACTATCCTTACAAAAAATACAATTTAAAAATGTGATGGGTAATTGTAGAGGTCTTTGGGCCCGACAAGATAAAGAAAAACAACGTTACCGTTTATACCACTCTTCAGCCACACTGTTGTCTCCCAGCGATCTGTAGAGTCTCCCCAGGTTCACCATGGCTACGTGATGACTTGGGCTAAGTTTGATGGCCTGTTGGTAATGGGCCACTGCCTTCTCTGGAGAGCCTGTAACCAGTGGTGGGTCGGTAAGAACAGAGCATGCCTTCATCATAAAATACACAAGTTCTTTAACTTTTCTTCTGATGTATATTATTCTCCATACAGAGTCATACCATCAGTTATTCAGCTTGTAAGTTACCTTGCATTTTGGCTTCTTCTCCTTGTCACTGCCTAACTTGGAACCATTTCACCATTCATTCCCATTTCTAAAGAAATTAATGAAAAAAAGCAATAGGAGCTAAAGCCTATTTATTATATATATTATTTTAGTAAAAGTGTTTTCTGGCCATTGCACTAGCTAATATGATATTTTGAGATTATCAGTGATTTTTATTTACACAAAATATTGTTGCTTCTCAGTATACAAAAAAATAAGAAACAGAATAGGCTGTTATGCAAAGTAAACTGTCCTGAAGCAATTTCGAAGGGTCTTTTCTCAGTTGCTGGACTGCAACATAGTAATTGAGGTACTACTTTAAATAAGTATGTATCAGCTGTACCTTGAAAATCTTTTTAAATCATACATAGTTTTTTAAATGGTATTTATTTAATGGGACTTAAATAATAATAAGTATATATATATATATATATATATATATATATGTATATATATATATATAATATTATAATAACACCACCTTGCATTTGTGCAATGCATTGTGTATTTTAAAACACTGATTAAGTGATATCATATGATTCTTTCAGGTGTTTTTGGTATTAAATTTCAAGCTGCCTCTTGGAATTTAAGAGATATTTTCAAATAAACAAAATGATCATTTTACAAATAGAGACACTAACATGCAAAGAGAGTAAGAGACTGGAGCCAAAGTCCATGGCAAGTGAGGGTGAAGGCCAGAACAGGAATCAAGTCTCTCTGGCCTGACAAGGTTCCCCAGAGGAGCTGTCTGGTGAGATTATATCTAAGTGACGAAACTAGAGGAGAGCCTGAAGTCCTATATGGGGTGGAACGTCTTTGCCCACACAGACATCTTCTGGAGAGTGCCTTCTTTGAATGCAAGTTTGACCAGGAGGTTCCAATAAAGCAGCAGTTCTCAACCTTCCTAATGCCGCGACCCCTTTATACAGTTCCTCATGTTGTGGTGACCCCCAACCATAACATTATTTTCGTTGCTACTCTGTAACTGTAATTTTGCTACTGTTATGAATCATAATGTAAATGTCTTTTTGCTTTCCGATGGTCTTAGGCGACCCCTGTGAAAGGGTCGTTCAACCTCCAAAGGGGTCGCGACCCACAGGTGGGGAACCGCTGGGCTAATGGCTCTAGGTACCTAGAGATCCATGTTATAGGTTACTGGCAATGGGGAGGATTTCACCAGTATAAAGACACCAATGCAAAGGAAGTGGTGGGAAGATATATATGGTGGTCAGCGAGATTTACTGGGGGTGGGGGTTAGGGTATTATGTTTCTGTTGTTGAAGTAGATGCAAGAGGATTAGACCAGGGAACAGGAGGTCTCCTGGTTTTTACATCTTTATGATATCGAATTTGTCATTATATCCCTAATAAACCAGCAGGTGGCACCACAAAACAATCTTACATGCAAACATAAGCGATGTTTCTTAAGTGAATCAGAATACACATTTAGGTTCTATAAAACAGAAGAACTCCAATTTCCCGGAAAATAAAGAGCCTTTCAAGTATTTCTTATTGACAGAATAATGAAAATTAAATTTTACAGCAGATCAGGTAGTGTAATAGTCAACAAGAACAAAGTGGTGCTTTTGCATTAAATTCAAATATCTTTTTATATTTTATCAGTGTTCATAACATGCCAACTGTACATGGGGCACAAGTCATAAAGAAGACAGAACCCTGGCTCAGTCAAGTTTGCATTAAATAAGATGGAGTAAGTGTATTTTATACAGCATTGCTGTCTAAGAATACTGTAACAATTATGATAATACAGTTTCTGAAATGTATATCATGTGAAGAACAATAAAACAATTTAGGAGGCTTTTTTAAATTATTATTATCAGTTGTAGAAAAGTACTTGCCATCTGGCAGGTAACTAGGGGTAGGTCGTGCATCCTTGCTGAGGAGTATTTCATTATCACAGATTTATAAACTTGTACAAATGATACTCTAAGAAGACTGCTGCTCATTAAATCATCAAGGCAACTTCCTACCACCTGGGGAGGTTTCCTTAGNCTGGTCATCCCTAAAATTTATACTTTTTGTTCTTATGTATTAGCTAGTGTGTGTGGTGAGTGACAATCAAGATGCAGTCTTCATCCTCCCTGATGTTCTCATTGAGAAATAATGTAGCCCTAACAAAATAATTTTCCTTCCCTCCAGGTTTCCCATTTATATTAGCAATGAAATCCCCCTGATCACTTTAAAGGGAAGTTTTAAAATCCAGTTGAAAGAAAACCAAATATGGGGTTGCACGTCTTGCCCTGAGCACATCTCAGTCTGGACTGCTCCAACAGCCTCCTCTTAGGTCCCTGGTACCCACTCTGTCCCCAGCACCCGTTGCCCCACCTCTGCAGCCAGAGATCCTGACAAAGCACAAATCTGATAATATTGCTCTTCTCTTTAAAAACCCGAAACTTCTCCCAGGATAAGGAGACACTCTGCCCTGGTCTTAAGCCTTGGGGTCTAGTCCCCAGCAATTTGCAGCTGCATCTCACAGTGCACCCTGCTCCCTCATGCCCAGCCCTCAGGCCACTCACTGTTGCCACAGGGCCTTTGCACATGCTTTTTCTTGCCCAGAACTCTCTTCACTATCCCTTTTTGCCTAATAACGCCTATTCATCACTCAGCTCTCACTGTCACATCACTCGGCAGGAAACCTGATCTCCCAGACCACCCAGGTCTCTTAATTATATCCCTATTAGGGACCATGTCGCTCTTCATGACATCACTGAGCACAGATATAATCTACATTGGTTTTGTGATTACTTGTTTCATCTCTGTCTCTTCTTCTACTGCAAACTCTATGAGGACAAAGGCAATGATTTTTTTATTTTTCTTATACCACTTTATTCCTGGTGCCTACCAAAGTGTCTGGCATATAGCAGGCATTTAACAAATATTTTGTTGAGTCAGTTCATAAATTTACTGGTTATGTGACTTTTAAAATAGAGAGAAATGATAACAGTTGCCACACAGGGTCACTGACCTGCCTTATAGGGTTGTTATCAGGAGGCTATAAAAAAATATTTGGAGGAACATGGAAAATGATAAAGCATACAAATGTTAGTCTTTACCTTCATAGAGTTATCTGAAAACAAACTGAGATAATACCACATAAAATCTTCAAACCAAGGATGAGCCAAGAAAATATTACTTCAGGGGGACCACTTAGGAGTTAAGGGGGTATCTTATCTTAAGGTTCCCATAAGATAACATATGCCAACTGATGATATTCAAAACCGCCAGCTTTGCAACTGTGCAGACAGGAGAGCCACATACCCCATTTTCTGCCCATAAATCCAAACTCCAAACAGTGTGCTCTCTACCTTGTCATGGAGCTCCTGCTTGCTGTAGATGGCTGACAACAGGCGATAGCATTCAAGGCACCCAGGCTCCTCTGACACAATGTGATTGGTCATCCTTTCAGCTTCTTTTGTCTGACCCATCATGGCCAAAACCTGAGCCTGCAAAACCACAGTGACTTGGCTTAGAAGACACTTTGTTATTAGCTTATCAAATAAAGCAGCCCTGAGTAGAGGCATTCAGGGAACACCCCAGACAGAAGTGCTCAGCATCTTTTTGTGACTCCCAGAAAGGGCTGAATTATCAGCTTACAGGCTTTAAAATTTGCTGTTTGTTTATTTATTTAGGTGCATGCATGCATTTCTGCATGAATGGCAGGAGCATCAAAGATATCCAAGGAAATGACTGTGCCTTTTCTAAAAAGTTGACAAATTACATCAAAAGAGAAATGGGTTTCCCAGGGTTTCAACAGAACACTGTTTGTAATAAGCTTGATTTATTGTAAATCTAAGGAAAAGGAAGAAGAATTATCCAAAAATTAAAATAAAAAATATTGCTATTAATTTTTCTGACTTTGATAACCATGCTGTGGTTATGTTAGAGGATGTCCTTGTTCTTAGGAACTACAATATATGGTGATGTAATTTAGAAATAAAAGGTATGAGACCTATAAATCTCACATAGCTCAGGAAAAAGTAACATGTATTAAAACGTATATGCACACCATATATGCCTAAACATGTACATACCGGAGTGCCAAA